TGACCATCACCATCCTTAATCTTTATGGATTGTCCTGGAACCATGCTGGATTTTTCCTTGCAAAGGTGACTGTGTAGTTTATGGCATGACAGGCAGATGCTGGAGCTGAAGCTTTAACAAAACCAGTTCCACATCTGGGAACCGCTTTGGGCTCAGACAAGTAGATAAAGGACATCCTGGGCAACTCACTGGGCAGCTGTGGAGGAAAAGGAGCTTGTGGCCTTCCTCCAGTTCCCAGGCATGGGTACAAATGTCACAGCCAAGCTCCTTCTTCACTCTCCCAACAGAAGGGGCAATGATTCAGTCTGGGCACAAACTAAGAGAATTCTGTTTCTTGATCCCATAATCATTCTGGGTTGTTCTGGGAGTAAGTGGAGGATTGACAGCTCCCCAACTGGGCTATCAGCACACTTCCCATGTATGCACCAAGTGGTGCCTGTTTTGAGGCAAAGCAAACCAGGAAACCTGCTTTGGTTGGTTTCAGTGCTCAGCCAGGACAATGGCAGAACATCCAAAACCAAGAGGATGTGCTCTGATTAGCCTGGGTCTGGTTCTGGCAAAGTTCCTCAAGTCACAGTGGCAGAGATAAGCAAAAGTCTGGGTTTCCTTCTCAGCTGATACCATTGTCTATGGAAAGAAACCTGGAGGGGTGTGTTTTCATAGAGGGCTCTCTCAAGGCATGTTCCTCCCTCTTTCATGCTGCGCTGGCTTTTGGGATTCGTGGTGAATAGGAGGTGCTGCTACCCCTAATGCGTTCACTGACTGCGTACAGATGTCACATACTGGTTCCACTGCTTGCTTCCATTCTTCAGCAATGCAAAGTACAGACATTTGCATGCTGCTCCTCTTGTCTCATTAGACACCTTCTCCTACCCCCCTCCAGGCTCCAAGTTTTGGTTGTTGTGCTCAAAATGTAATGATTTATCAATGGTAATAAGTTGGTGTGATGCAGTGTGTGACAGGGTTTGGTGTGTCTGCGGTGTGTGCACATGGAGGCACAGGAGCTAAGGACAAGTGAGCAGGAGCAGGTAGGAATCAGAGTTTGGGACTGGTTTTGCTTTGGGTTTTTAAGTGTATTAATGGTATCGTCACTCTTAATTGAAGCTGACTTTAACCAGTGCCTGCCCATGGCGGCTGTGCTGCCTCAGAAGCCGGACTGATGACTCTGAGCCTCACAACCGTGCCTTGGAGAGCAATGTGGACATTCCAGCCCAACGGGCCACGTGTGCCCTCGGCCTGTGGGCTCCCATCGCTCAGCCCCTGGGTGCTCGTGGCAATGCAGGGTCCTCTTCTCCTACACAGAACTCACAGCTGAAGGAAAACCCAACGAACAGACAGAACACTTTGCTCCTGACAAAGCAAACTGAATCAGGAAATGCAAACGCACCTTCCCACTGTGCCAGCCTGCTTATTTGTGTGTCCTTGCTCACGGGGCTCAGAAGCTACCAGAAATAGTTCACCCTTCCTGGTTTTGAGGGGGTTTTGGGCTGCTTTCTCTATTGTTCAGCGGTACAGGAGGTGTTCTGCAGACCCCCAGGAACAATCCTGTCCCAGCCCTTGCTCCGAGCACTTGTGTGTTTCAGAATGAAAGCAACAGCGACTCAGAACAGGGGCTCGATGCTGCGCAGCAGAGCTGGGCATGGGTAAGCTGCTTCTAAAGCAACAAAGTGGTAAATGAGATGTTCCCTACACAGCTCCTCATAATCTGTAATGGGAAAACACCAAAACCACATATTAAAGTATAGTTTCTCTTTATTGCTCTTTTTCAACTAATGTGTATGACCTATAAGACTGACAGCATAACTTGGGTTAACTTCCTTGGAAAAGTTGGACAGCAACGTGCTGCTGAGGGCATTTGGAAGCAAAAGAGTTAATACCGTCACAGAACCAACTTAAAGCCACAAAGCCAGTCCTGATGCCAGCAGGTGTGCAGGGCACACCAAGCCTTAATGCTGTTCTCATTTTCAACTGACTTTCGGGACATACCCCTGCTCCCTCTGAAAGCCACAGGGTATTTCTGTGCCTCTCTAGGAGAGTCCCAGTTGGTTTTTAGGGTTCTAAATGTGGGTAGCAGAGAATGCCTTCTTACGTGCTACAACAGCAAGCTAATTGTTATGACACGAGCATTTCTGCTGAGCATGGTAAGCATCCTTTAATGGGCACTTCAAACACGGTGTAAGATGGATTTGTCCAAGTAAAGCTGTGACAGCATCTCGGGTAGTTGGGATGCAATCACACATCCTCCTGTGTGGCTGCTGCCCTGACTTTCGCTGCTCCCACCACCCTGCTGCCAGTGGTCACTGCTCCAGTGCCACAGCTCGGCTGCTCCTGGGAGCATCCCTTGCCCTGCTCGAGTTCGAATGAGCAGTGTTAGCTTGAACAGGTCATCACCGTTCCAGCTGAAATGCTGGATGGAGCAACCAAGCAGGTTCTGCTGGACTCGGGAGCAGGATTAACCTGGGCTGGGCAGTGCTGTGGAGAGCCGGGGGGTGTAAAGCTGCTGGTCACCTCGGATGTGTCATCTCCTGGCTGCATGAGCAGCCTCTAAGGCAGGGCTCCATTGAATCACAGAATCCCAGACTGGTTTGGGCTGGAAGTGACCTTGAAGCTCATGCAGCTCCAAGCCCCTGGTGCGGGGTGTGCTGCGTGTACGGCTCTGCCCACAGCTGACTCACAGCGCATCAATCCAGGGTGATCCACAGCACACACACCTGGTACTCAGTGGAAGCTGGTTTAAGAAATGGCAATCTGGGAATGCTGCTGTTCTCTGACTATTGAAACTAAACCCAAGTCAATCTCCTCCCCACTCTCTAATAGAGGCAAATTGTTCTACATAGAACCTACTCAGTATGGAGACCCCAGGTACCCTTGCTCATGCTGATCCTTTTACCCTGGAGGGGATGAAATCCCTAAGTGGCAGTTGTAGGGTTCAGATATCAGAAGTCTCCCAGACATTTTAGATGAGGAGTGTTTTTTTCCAAACCTTTCCTATTTTCACTCTAACGATGTACTTGTCTTTGGACTGATTTGTTTGCAATAGCACTGCGCAGGTTCCAAAGGTTTTCTCTTAAAATGCTTGTGGCCAGAGGATCACAAAATGAACAATTTTAAAGTGACGGATTGGGAGTTTGAATAAATGGGTGGACGTGCAACCAGTACATATACCGGAACAGTTGGGGGTTTAATCATGACATTGACAGAAGTATGAAGCCCACAAGAAGGTGACTAATTGTATAACTTACTTTTCTGCAGCGTATTAGTGAGCAGATAACTGGTAGAGAAAAAATGAGGATTCATACCGAAATGTGCACAGTATAAATTACTTGGTCTTGTAAAAAGCTTAGATGCCTGGAAAGGAAGAGAAGTGTGCGTCATAGATTTGTGGAAATAACAAATAGCTCCTTTAAAAAAGCAATAATCTGCATAATAAAGCATTAATAGATATCTTAAGTCACAGTCATTGCCTGCATAATGAAAACTGTAAGATGATAATGATTATTCTGCCCTCATGCTGTTTATTTTGCTGTTAGCACATGTTTAACTTCCTTATTACTGCTCAAGTTCTGTTCCCTGTTCTAATCAATTTCTTTTTCCCCTCCAGATGCACCATTCTGCCCTTGGAAACAGCAAACTGAAACCTGCTCTTGTTTGATTTATCAGTCACTGTGTCAGGTCTCTGCTGTCAGAGTGATGCTCGGCTGCGTGTCAGTCATTTGGCAGTGGGGAATTCAGCCGTTTGTGTTCCCATGGGGCATTCTGAGATGCAGGCACACAGACAGAGCACTGTTATCTTCCCCTGGTGTTTTTGTCCTCTGTGCCCTGTGCCTCCTGCCCCGGGTGCTGTCAGCTCTGCAGGACAGTGGCATAGGGATCGCTCCTCTGATGCGGTTACACTGTCATTTCCAAGCAGGAATGGAAACCTCATGATCTCCTGTGCACATTGCTCACCAGCGAGGGAAATAAGGGGAATGCTGCTGTTGCTCCCCAAGGACAAAGCAGGAGGGTGAAGCTCATGGGATGCCAGGAAAGTTCTCCCTTCCCTTCACCAAGCACCGCATGGCAAAGCCATTGCATCTCAGAATCACAGCATCATGAGGGGAAGGGAACCCTGGAGATCACTCAGTCCAACCCCTGCCGAGGCAGGGCCACCCAGAGCAGGGCACACAGGAGCGTGTCCATGGTGGGGTCTGGGTGTCTCCAGAGAGAGAGAGTCCACCCCCCGCCCCGGGCAGCCTGTCCCGGGGCTCTGCCACCCTCAATGGGAAGAAGTTCTTCCTCGTGTGGAAGTGACACTTGTTGTGTTTTAGTTTATGGCCATTGCTCCTTGTCCTGCCGCTGGGCACCACGGGAAGGAGACTGGCACCATCCTGCTGGCACCGCCTTTGAGCTGTTGCTGTGCTTTGATGGGATCCCCTCTCAGCCCGCTCTTCCCTGGACCAGCTCCCGCAATCTCTGCTCCGCACAGGGATGCTCCAGACCCCGATCACCCTCGTGGCCTCCGCTGGAGCCTCTCCAGCAGCTCCTTGTCTCTTGCACTGAGGGGCCCGGTACTGAACACGGGGGGGCACGGGGGGGGGCCAGCCTGGTGGTGACAGGAGCCGGGGGGGGGCAGTCCCGGTAACGACTGTCCCCTAGGGGGCGCTCACCGCTCGGAGAGAGAGGGCGTGGCCTTTTGTCATAATGCGCTGGGTCACGTGGGGCACGCACGCCCTCACGCGGGGAGGGGGTAGCAGGACGTGTGTGTGGGCGCGGCGTGCCCGTGCCGTTGCGCCTGCGCTGTGACGCGTTCGCGGCGGCCCGTGCGGTTGGGGCCGGGAAACCCCTCGGCGGGACGCGGCGGCACTAGGGTCGCCATCGCGAGCGGAGGGCCCGGTAGCGCGGGGGGGCCGAGCCCAGCCTGAGTGGAGCCGGGGCTGCGCAGGGTCTGTGCCAGCGCCGCGAGGAGGAGCCCGGCGGGAGCCGCTGCCGCGGCCCAGCTCGATCGCTGCGGGCCGGAGTCGTTGCGGGGGCGGGGACCAGGGCCTCGCAGCGCCGCCGCGATGGAGCCCTGAGGCCTCCAGCGGCTGAGTGTGCCTGAGGCCGCGCGGCCTGGCCATGGCCCAGCGCCGCGGCCTGTGAGCACAGCCCGGCCCGGCCCCCGCGGTGGGCCCTCTCTCGCCGGCCCCAGCCCTGCGCGGAGGCCGCGCCGCCAACGGCTGCTGTCGGCGCCATCGAGGAGCGGGCACGGCCCGGCTCCGACCATGTCGTGCGTGCACTACAAATTCTCGTCCAAGCTCAACTATGACACAGTCACCTTCGACGGCCTCCACATCTCCCTGTGCGACCTCAAGCGCCAGATCATGGGTCGCGAGAAGCTGAAGGCGGCCGACTGCGACCTGCAGATCACCAACGCCCAGACCAAAGAAGGTGCGTGGGGCGGCGGCGCGGCCTGCGGTAGCCGCGCTTTGTGCCTCGACCCCGAGCATGAGGCCCGGCCCGCCGGCGGGCGGGAGGGACCGCTGGAATAAAGCGGGGTGGGAGCGGTAACGCGGTTCGACCGCGGTGCCGGGTGTTGAGGCCTCGCGGAGCTGTTCCTTTGTAGTCGGAGTGACAAGCACCTCCGGCTCTGCGCTTCAGACGCGGGGCTAAGCGCGGAGGAATACGTGGTTGATGTGGTACATATAGGGCTTACCAAAGTTTGGGTTTCCTGGCAGTCTTCTGGGAAAAATAATGCGGAAATGGAGGAGGATAACAACAAACCTGCCAGGTTGCTTTTTAATCTGGAGGAGAAAGCTCATAGTCGTGGAAATAGAAGAGGTGGCTGATTTGAAGAGAAAGTGGTTTTGTTGGCTCAGTATTGTCTTCAGTGGCCTTTACCCCACGCTTCATGGGAAAACTAGTTTTGTGCCTGTTGCAGGAAGTGCGTTTTGGATGCAGAGTTCATCTGTGAGTTAAGATTTCCGCAGGCCCTTTAAAGCCATTTGCACCTGAGTTTCTCGATTACACTCTGGAATTTCTTGTTAATGCAACTTTTCTACACCAAAGACATTGTCATTCAGATGCTGTTGAGCCTCATTTCATTATTCATTTATTCATCTCTAACCTTTTTTCATGGTTTTTTATTTCCCCTGGTACTATGTGTTAGCCACATCAGGGCAGCCCTGGAGTTCTATGGCAGAGCATTTATGGTGAACATACGTAAGAAATGTTCTCAGAAGTCATGATTCTCAGCCATGATAAGGGTTTCCTCTTACTGTGATATTTCAGATTGGTTATTTGCCGTCTTGATAAGTTTGCAGGTGATTAAATACTTTGGGAAGTGACTTCTCAGAAATAAAAAGACTTGTAAAGTGGTTTCATTTGTTCATTTCCCCCCCTGTGCTTCTGTGCCCCTCCTGCAACAGTCTTTTCTTTAAAACAGGTGCTGGTGGGGTTTTTCTTCCTGCTTGAAGTGTTAAAACAGAATAATGTGTTTGCTGCAGTAGCTGCAACTTCAGCCCCAGCCTTTAAAGTGGTTGGGCCTAAAGCTCATGCTTTTTCTACAGATGCTTAGATTGTTTTGAGGAGAATTTCTGTGAAGAGACTCAACAGCACAACTTTGGGGCCTCAAGGGTGCTGTTGGCTTGTGTGATGTGCGTAGGTAGAGATGCGCTTCAGAAGTCTTGAATTGTTCCAGTAGCACTGAATAAAATTGTCAAGAGCTGTTGAAAACTGTTTCATGAAGGGCTTTGCTGCAGAGGAGACTCTGGGGTTTCTCTTCAGTTGCTGCTGTACTTGCAGCTTCCCAGCACTGGCAGCCTGAATGGCCACTGCCTGACGTCACTCCTGTAACAGGCTAGGCTGGGTAAAACAGCCTCGAGACCAGAACGTTGGATGGTGGTAAACTGTGATGGAGCCCAGTTATCATCAGCAGAACGAAAACATGTTCTGAAATAGGCCAGAGTTACAGCAGGTGAGGAGCAGGAAGCAAAGGTTATAGATGATAAAATTATGCTCTTGAATGTACTACCCCATAAAGTGGCCCTCCAGAATCCAATGCAGTTCTGCAGAGGTTGTTGCTTTGGTTCTCTGCGTAATCAGAATCCAGTGGAGAACAAGCATCTGCTTCACTAGGTTCTGTTACATGTGATGTTGCCTGAAGGTGAAGCTAAGGAAGGTATATCTTTCATACTCTAAGAGCATTGCTCTTGTGTAACAGGGACGGGATCCTCCTCTGGGTCAGTTGTGTTGCACTTTGACTTTTGAAAAATCAGTATCAAACTCTAAATTACAGATTAGTGACACAGGTACTTACTGAAGCTTTTGTAAGGGCATTTCTCTGTGCAAACACAAAAATCCCCCAGTAATTTTCAGAGCAAGGCTGCAGAATGCATTTCAGCGCAATATATATGCCAAATTTTTGGTTTATATGCATAACCATGAATTTCAGTTTTTATCAATCATATTTGATGCCTAAACTCTCCTTCAGAAGATAAAGGAACAAAAACTAGACCAGGATATTCTGCCTCAGTGGGATGTTTGGAGTGCTTACTTGTGGACATACCACAACTCTGTGCAGGAGTCTGCACTGAATGTCAGCGTGATCTTGGAAAGAACAAAGTGAACCTTGAATGAAGATGACCGATTTGTTCTGGTTTTTCCAAGTGCTCTGAGCTTTTATGGATCAGTAACTGTTGCTTTTCACAATGGATATGTGTAATACAAGCTAAAAGTAAACAGGATTTTTAGCTCTTTTTGGCTCTTTATAAGATGCTGGGAAAGAATGGGTGGCTGGGACCTGTCTAAAGGGGATGGGTGTCCTCTGTGCTTACTCTGTAAGCATGTTCTGTAAAAGCAGAATTCCCTTCAAAAAGATACTCGTTTTGAGTATCTTGAATGATGAATTTAAACTCCTCTCAATTTGATCTGAATTTCTTGACCTGTCTTTTATAGTAGATGCTTTCCCAGTGTTGTGGAAGAACTGCAAATCCTGTAACGTTCTGACTCAAAGCACTTGGGAAATGTGCTGTTCTCCTTATCGAGCAAAATGATACAGGAAACCAAACCTGGGACTCTGAACTGGTGTTAGAGGAATCATCTGAAGGGCAAAGGGTATGCTTCTAAAACTTGTCCCTTGAGCTCAGAACTTGCCTGAGTTCAGTGCTGGAGTGTGCACTTGACCGTTTTAGTAATGCCACCATGTGATGTCTTGAAGACAAGCTCGTGCTGACTGTGAATGAAGTCACTTGGTCTCACACCTGACGTTTGTCTGTCTGCTGGGATGCCTTCAACACTCTGCCAACTATAGCATTTTAGGGAAGACTTTTAAGCAAGTTTCAAACCCAGCCCTTTGCTGGGCAGTTAGTTCCATGGTGCAGTGCTAGTCTAGGGCATTGCTTTGGTTCCAGCTCAGAGTGTGGTGAATTCCCAGGCTGCCATGCAGCATTATCCTGTGGAGCTTTCAGGAAGGACACAGAGTTCCTGTTTGCCTGGTGGGGTTGGAGGCAGGTCACATAACTTGTTTAAAACCCATCATGTTCCAGTGGAGCTCACCTGGTGCTTTGGCTCTGTCACCAGCAGGTTTGGGACCTTGGCGGTGTGCTGTCAGCTCAGATCATCTCCCTTGGCCAGGTCGTTAGGGCAGGCTGTGTTTGGGCCATGACCACCTTGTTTCCAACGAGGCTTTTGCTTTCCCAGTCACACACTGAAGCAACAAGCAGTGCCAACAAGACCTGAAGGAATTAGGCAGTCTATGTAATCAGATTGATGATTGAAAGTATGTTAGACTTGGTTGACTTATCCTTTCAAAGCAACACAGGTGCTCTTTTGGAGCACAGCATTGTATAATTGTAATGCAAATGCAAGTTCCCTGAAGTGCTTGGCCTACTGAGCTAGCTCATTCAAGGAATGATATCCCAGTTGTAGGTGAGATCATTGATACCTATTTTGGTGGAAGCTGAAATGCCAGAAACAGTAGTCCAGGCAAGATTACTGGGGATGTTTCAAGGCAGTGCCTTCGGTGCCAGCTACAGAGATGATTTCCTTGTCGCAGTGTGCCAGTGGTGCTGACCAGAACAGAGTTAAAAAGGTACATCATGAGAAAGCAGATTTTTTTAAGCACTGGAGAGAAAATGTGTGCTTGGGAGTTACCCTCTTTCCCATCAGAGGCGGTCTGGCATGTGAGTAGTCATTTTTGTCTCTTACTCTGCAGATCATTCCCCCAGCAGCATAATAGCTCGTTGCAAAGCACCTAAGCCTGGTAAAGGCTTTTCTTTGTTGTTTCACACCCAGGCTTGCCTTCTGATGATGTCTGTTTTAGTGAGCTTCTGGTCTGCTGTATCTGGGTGAAAATACTTCTGTAGACAATGCTCAGAGAGCTGCTTTTGCAGCACTGCCAGACCCAAAATGGTGGATTAAAGCAGGCCATGAAATAAAGTAGGAACTTTTTCAGTACCTTGTTCATAGCAAATGTGTGACACACAGTACTAAAACCAGCAGATTTTCAGAATTACAGCTGAATTTAAAAGTGGGATTTTTAAATCGTGCATTAAATGTGAAGCAGTGTAACCTTCAGAGCATAACCTGAGCTGTTTGCTGCAGGAAGAAGGTTGTGGGCACTAATGCAATTGTTGGCTTAAGATTTCTATATCAGTGTAGGGCAGCTCTTGTCTGCCTCCATTCCTTCCTTGAAATACTGCTTTCCTTTGACTTTCAAGCATACCGCTTTCTTGTAGAACATACAGCAGGCTTTAGACCGCTCTGTTTCTTCTGCTTTTGACTTCAGCATCCAGATCTTCCTTTGCGTTTGTAAGCTTCCTGAGTGAATCGAATCCTTATGTTTAATCACATGTCAGATTGACAAAAGCCCAGTGCCACTTAGTGGCCATCACTGGCAGTAAAATGAGTTCTGTGCTGTCAGGGGAATAGGAGTCAGCAACGTTGTTGCCTCCAGCTACTTTGTACCCTTTCTGTTGAAGCTTGAACAAGTGTGAGGAGTAGCCTTGTTGAGTGTGGTGCCACTGGTGGCTTTGCAGATGTGGAATCATGTGGTAAGACAGTGATGCTGCTTTGCAGGTCCTGGAGGTTGCCAAGTCTCTGCTGAGGGATGTTGCTGCCTGCAGGGAACAGCTTCCTGCTGGGAGCTGTCAGTTTAGTCCGAGAACTGTTAGACTGAGCTGGCATCTGTTAAATTCAAACCAAGCAAACACAAATTTCAAGGGACTTCAGGAGAATCACTCCAGCTTTAGTTGTTTCCTGTTTGAAAAATAACCAGTTAACTCTTTAGCCTATATTTAATAACATTTCATCACCAAAGTGAGTTCAATGAATTGAGTCAAAGGAAAAATAAAGGTATTACAGCCGGCTGGTCTCGGGTCCCTTCACAGAGCTGACTCCATTTCAGTGTACACTGACTGAGCAGTTGGAAGGTGTGGTTGTTGATGGCTTAAGCTCCAAGAAAGGGAGATGGGGGCTCCCTTCTGTGTTCTGCACTAGCAGCACGGGTGAATTGCTCTTGATTAACAGCAGTGAAAGCAGTGCCATGGAGTTTTCACACTTTAGCCTTGTGCAGGGCATGCGAGTCACACTTCAGAACTCTCTGTGCAGTTGAGACTTTGCTGTGGCCTGGTTTTCACCAGAGATCTGCTGGTTTTGCAGCCTTAACAGCAGCCAAAGCAACTTAAGCTAGATGAGGAAAGACCACCCGCTGCACTAGCAGACTCTCCTTTAGTGACCTGTAAGGAGATTTTGCTGTTGGCATTCAAACTATTAAAAAATGATAAATAAAAAGAAAAATGTTTTGTTGTTTGTGCTTGATTATCCAACCTGAAGCTTTCTTGAAATGTACTTTCAGTGTGATGAGACCTTAAAAGCACAAAGCTACACCTAAAATTTTGCTTTTAGATCAGTAAAGGGATTCTCTGAAGTGCTGAGTGATAGCTATATATATTCTTACAAATTGACTAATGTTTGTTCTGGTTTTATGTTGATTTCAGAATACACAGATGATAATGCCCTGATTCCGAAGAACTCATCTGTAATTGTGAGAAGAATCCCTATTGGCGGAGTGAAAGCTACCAGCAAAACATACGTTATGTGAGTGTCAATAAAGCATGTACTGAGCAGGGTTTCAGTGGGTGAACTTACAGTTTATCTTAGTTTATAGAGGCATTCAGATTGTATCTTTCTTGTTAAAGCTCATAGTAATTTTTGTTGGAACGGGGTAGGTTTTAATGTATGTCCCAAAGTAGACTTAGGATTTTTAGCCCTGCTGGTACACGGGGTTCAAACCGCAACACTGGCAACCTGTAAGATGATTCTATGGGGTTTGGTCTTGGAGTTGATTTTGCTGAGAGCCAGGTTGTAGATCCTATTTCCTCTGCTTGGAGAGATTCCTTATTCTATGTATTTGCATTTATAGTAAAGGCATATAATGCATTTTAGTTGAATCTGTGGCTTCTTCTCATCTAGAAGAGTCCGATTCTCAGTGTTTGGCTGTATGTTGCATCTGGGAGAGGAGATTGGGGTATGGCAATATTCTTCCACCCGAAGGGTGGGGTTTTATGTAGTAACTGTAGAGGAAAGACCAAGGCTAGCCAGCTGGCAAACCATGCAAATAGTGAGTTCATTCCTAAGTAATTCCTATTACTTTCTTAAAGGCAATGTCCATTTTGGGCAAGAGAACAACAATATCCTGAAGTGCATTGCCTTTTGTGCGAGTATGGTGAAGGAATAGTTAGTCCTTTCTAAACCCAAGACTCGGGAAGCAGTTTAGCACGTTACCAAATATAACTAGTTATCTTCCTAAGTCTGTTTTTGCCTTAAGCTGGTATCTGTGCTCCAGCTTTTAATTCCGAATTCTTAAGATTTACAAAAGACAGAGCATCAGCTATATTGATGAAAGTTACAGCTATTCACATGCAATCCTGACAACAGCATTATTGCTGTCACTTACGTATTCATACAGGTCATTTCTGTATCAGCTACATCAGCACTGTTTGAGTGGTCATGTTTTCCAGCCCTCTTGAAAGACACACCTCTCCCCCACAATCAGTAGATGATATTAGCTTGTGGTTTTGCCATGTCTTTTCCATGTTGGTTCTCAGTAAATAGACTGATGAGTTACAGTCTGACTCAAAACAGTACAGCATCATCCTGGTACCCATGAAGCATTTGCAGGCAAAAGGCCCTGAATTAATTCAACATGGCTCTGCATGTAAACTTTGGGCATATTACAGCAGCAGTTGTTGCTCTCAGGCACTACCTAGTAATTCTGGAGGCCAGAGCATTGTGCTTATACATGTGGCCTTGTCTGGGAAGTCAATTTAAATGTGTGCTTAGTGCTGTCTTGACAGTGCATCCTCCCTGTTGGGTTGGATGGCACCCTGCCTCCTCTGGTATTGTAATGCTGCCCTAAAGATAGGTGCTGCAGGCAGCAAAGACCACAGGCATACATTGTTTGTATGGGATAAGGAAAGAATGGCACTGCTGTTGAAAATTAACCAGGCAGATCAGCTTCCCATTCCTGCAGCTGGGAACGTTGCAGAGCCAACTGGTAGAGTGTTGAATGCTTAGGAATGGTGAAGGTCTGCTGTAACAGTGGAGAGGCCTTCAAAAACGCTTTACTCATCTTGTACTATTCAAGGTAAATGGGTGAAGCAACCACAGTGTGGTAATCCAAAGTATTTCCTTGTACTTCCTCATCTTCAGGGGGTATGTGGCTGTAATTGAGAGCCTGAGGGTGTTCTAGCAGTGGCAGGAAGCACGAGCCTTTCTCTTTGTACGTAAATTCCACAGCAGCAGCTTTTAAATTGCCTCTGCTCATGGGACGCTTTGGATGATGTGTGCATTGTTTGTTAACCATCTCCATGATTGCATGTCTGGTTCATGATGAATAGCATGCAGGTACAGATTGATGAGTATGTGGAATCTCAACAGGTTTTCAAATGTAATAAATATTTCCTAAAATACTGTAGCATTTTCAAGATGATCTTAAAGCAAATTCTGGCAATTAAGACCTTTTTTTCTGTCACAGGACTCCTAAATCGCACAAAACCCTAGAAACTGCTTTCAGGTGACATTTCTACTACTATTTTTAGTCAATATAGCATATGTAACACGTTTAGTATTTTGGTGCTTTCATGGCTAAATACAGTAGATATCTGAACACAGTGCTTGGGCTTCCACAAAGAAACACTGTTGTAAAGACTAAGCTGCCAACAGTTTTGTTCTTTCTCTGTCAGATGACTGAGGTTTTTCACTGAAGTGAGCTTGCACTTCATGGTGTTGAGACTCTCACTGTTCTGTCTTAGGAACTGAAATGCTGTCTCTGGCACCCGGTTGTAACACTAAGGATGTACAGATTGGCTAAAGTGACCTTCATAGCTTGACAGTTGATTATTTAAGAACACAAAACTGTGATACAGGCATCCTATTTTTGATACTTCCGTAGCAGACAAAATGAGGACTTCCTATTGCACTGTTGTGTTCTATATCTGTAAGTCTCAGAGTAATTGCTGACAAAGTACAAATGTGATATTTGGTGGGGTTTTAGTTGCTCTGAATGTACCAAGAGAGAACAGTTTATGTATATGAATAAATTTCCACATTCCCTAGCCTATAGGGACTTGATGGTTTGATTTTATCATCTGTTTTCACTGTTTTATGTTGGGTACCAGTGCTTTATTTTAAATTCTGATCACCTTTATTTCTTCTTCTAGAAGTCGAACTGAGCCAGTGAGTGGAACATCAAAAGCAGTATGTAAAAACCCAATCTCACACTTTTTTCTACACACTGCACTTAATTTTACACAACGTAGCCTTTTAATTTTCCAAACATTAACTTAATCTATTTTCCAGTAAAATATAGTGTTTGTTGTAAATACGATGTATTTGATTCAGCATAGTAAAAACTGAGTAATGCCATTATTTGCACAGTTCTAATGTGAATACTGGTATTTGTGCTAGTACTGGATTGTATTTCCTATTGCATATGATAGACTATTCCTGTATGACTCTGTGTTGTACAGATTCTGTGCGCTCGGGTTTAGATCCTGGCGGTTGGAGGTTTGCACAATTGAACATGGTGCCATGTTCTACATCTGTCTGTCTATAGCTAGTAATATGTATGTTTGTATAGGTTGTTGTGTGCTTTTTGTTTCTTGCAATAAAAGTTGTTTGGAGTGTACTTTTGCCATTTTCACATTGTATCACTTAGCTTTTTTGTTTTAAATACTTTTTTTTCTTTTTTTTTTTTGCCTAATGGTTTTTGAAGATGTGATCAAAAACCACTGAGAAAACCACTGTTGTTAACTTGGTGCTGTTCCTTCTGACTTGGGGGTTCAAACAAATCCCAACCCCTACATATCCCGTATGTTCTAAGGGCAGTTCTGTGCAGCTGAATTGATTCCTTTTCATGTCCTTAAATACTTGGGCATTTGTCCTGAAACTGTGTAACTAAGGTGATACTGTTTGGGCCCCTCTGAGTACCTGAATGTCTTTAATAGATTGCCATGAATTTAAATATCGTTGCTACACAAAGTGGTATTCTAAAGTTTTGCATTTGCTCTTTTCCCTTTACCTGATGAAGCTGTTTCATAGTTTGCAAATGAAAATACCTAAAACAAATTCTGGCACAAGGTCAGAGCCTGGTGCCTTTCTGGGTAAAAACCCCTGTCATTTTTCTGCACTGCCTGCAGTACGTTTTTGGGTCTGGGTGACTTCAGGGTTGGGTGCTGCTTTCGTCTCCCAAAGGTTAAGCCTTTCTTTAGTATACCACCACTTTGAGTTTGCATTTGGAAAAGGGGCAGCATTTCTCAGGTTTGAAAACACTGTTGTCTGCTGCTAAACTATAAGTAACATACAGAAATAATGGGCTGGTAATGGTCTAGATCTCGATTTGCCTCTCGGGTCAAATATGATGTGTAAATGCTCATTTCAAAATAGTCCTTACAGTATAAAAGTTACGACTTGGTGCTTTTTATTTTTTATCTTTATTTCAAGTATATCTGCTTTTCCTTCACTAGACTGGTGTGAGGCATTACACTAACCCTGGATCATTGGATCTGACCATTTGATAAGCTCTTAGGATACCTTGATGTAGAAATTGATGAAGTCAGGGTCTGTGTTCTGTGAAGGATACAGCCTCTGATTCTCACGGAAAGCCATCCAACAACTGCAAATTGAAAACTTGTGTGTGTAGGTCTAAAACCACCAAGTCCAAATCTGCATCCGTAATTCTATTGCTGATTGATTTGAATTCTTTTTTGGACATGAATGCCTCTCATTGCAAGTTGGAGATAGTTTGCCCAGTGACCCTAGTAGTTAATGTAATGCATTTATGTAAACCACTTTTACAGGATTTGATCTAATTCCAATGGGTTTTTATTTCTTGAAAACAGTTACTTTTCTTTTTGTTTACTAGCATGTGTATAAACACAAATCACATGTTCATAAATAAAGTTAACATTATTTTAGCCTTGTGTGTTCCCTGGCATGTCTGTATTACATTTCTAAGTAGCATCTTACCATAAGCTAACATAGATACATCAAAAAAGATAAAATCATGGAGTGGGAGGGAAGACTTAGTGTTAGTTGGAAATAATTGAAGTGAATGAAAGAGCAAAACATTCCCTTCTGTTTGCTCTGGCTGTACCTGGATTGGGTTGTGGGTAGCATAGGGAGGGTGGAAGCTTCACATCACTCTTAAGTCCTGTCTCTTACTGTAAAAGCACTGCAGCCTCAGGTGCTTCTGGTGGTGGAGACACACTGAGCACTTTTAAAGCTAACTCAGGGCCTGGTCTGAAGCGTGGGGGTTTGTTCATTGGGATTTGGGGTTTGTTTTTCATACACGTATTTCTGTCTGTATTTGAAAGCAGAACCTGGATCTTAGTGTGGCAGGAGTAAATCCCTGGAAAACTTGCCAATTCCAGTTGAAGGGTAAAGCAGCAAAATGGAAATGAGTTAAGATTACTTTTTTTTAAGGATGCACAAAGCCAAACTTGGTTTCTTCATTGTCTTGCTCTTAGGTTAGCTGTCAACCCAAAGTTGTGCTGCTGTCCTACTCTTAATACAGCCAGAGCAAGAAGATGGATCCTTTTTGGTTTAGTCTTCCCGTTTCAGGAACTGCAGGGATCTCCAGTTGATGCTTGTCCTTAGAGGCTGAAGTGCAGAGTCCTGCCTGCTGGTTTAATGCCATCAAGCACAAGTGTGACCCTTCCTGGCTGGATTTTTAGTTCAGCCAAGCTATAGGGGTTAGGAAACCACTGTGATTTAAATGTAGCACTCCAGCAGTGAGATCAGCCTTTTCCTCCCATTTTCTGTCCCCTGTCCCACTTGCTTTGCATTAGTTTCTGCTTAGTCTTTTCTGCGAAATGGGAATTAATACACTGACTGTTGAGTATGGTTTGGAAGGGGGGTTGCCTGTGTCCCTTCCCCAGTTCTTCTGCAGTTTTATCTCTGGGTTGTATGCAAGCGTCATGGAGATGTTTGTGCTGGACTGAGTGGAGGGACTGGCAGGAATTGAGCAGAAATTTAAAGGTAGGAATAGATACAGGAATGTAGGGTCATTGGAAGGCAGCTCCTGGGCAAACGTACCACATAGTCCATTGGTTATCTATTTGCTGCTTTTGGTATCTCCTGAGTAGAAAGGAATGCTACTGCCTCCTTTAAGGAATTGGACTGTTGCCTGCAGGTCATCTAATAACTGCTTCCTAAAAAACCCGTTTGCTAACTGGTCTGTTTTGATTATTGGTCAACCCTAGACCGCTTAACACCAGGCTGCAACAGGGAGCTTCCCTAATCCCTTGTTTCCTTCTGAAAAACCATGGAATGGCAGTGGTTGTGCTTGCTGAGAGAACACAGGCCTGTTTTCCCACATGTAAAAAAGAGTGGCATATGGAGTGTGAAGCTACCGAATCATTGATCAGACTTCCCTTTAACAGAGCTAGGTACAAAATGTTCTCAAAAAGAGGACAGTTCAGTCTTTGGTTAAGAATTGCAATGGAAAGAAGGTCTCTCTTTCCAGATCTGTGTGTTCCTCTCCAAACACACATTTTAAGAGCCTACAGTTAGTAATGCGGTAATGTTGTATGTGCTCTCCTAGACATGTAGAGAAGGAATGATTAACAGACTTGAGGTATTTCTTTCCCCAGTCTGCTAAAACTGGTCCTTCAATTCTTTATTACCTGGTGTAGGGAAGGAATTGAGCTTTCTCCAATGCAGTGGTCTTGGGAGGAGAGCTGTTCAGTTTTCATTGTGACATTTTATTCGGTGGTTTTGAACAACTTAAGACACAGCAAGCAGTGATTTGAGTGTCTTCCTGGTAATGACTTAAGCTTAACTGCAGCTTGTGGCACAATATCAGTCAATATAGTGGATCAGGGAGAAGAGTGTCCCTTTTTACTTGTGGAAAAACTGCTCCAGTGTTTAGTTCTCAGCAAACACTGTGGCCAATTCCCGACTAGTGGCCTGGGGCTTCATTCCTGCAAGCTGTAGCTGTAGGTAGCTGGAAGGGAGCCGTGTAGTTCCATTGGAGACAAAAATACAGGGCTGTACTTTGAATCTGTGTTTTCAATATCACGAGTGTGCTTTGCGCTTTCTGCCTTTGTTCATTTAGTCCTGAGTTCAGTTGGGTAGCAAGGAATTACTAAATTCTCACTTTGAAGTTAATGTGGATAGTGTGATCTAATAAAATACAATGAAAAGGAGTTCTCTCAGTTTTTCTAGGCTACTCTGTCATGATAAACACATTTATTTAAATACAGTTTCAGCAGTTGTTTTCTTCCAGGCAAAGTGGTGGGGTACTGTTAGGACTGATGCTTTGGATCGGTGGTTTTAGTTGGGTTTGGTGGGGTCCGAGTTTGGCATTTTTAAACTTACAGACAGGAGAGGCAGAGTTCATGGTTCAGGGCTCTTGCTTCATTCTGACAGCAGCTGTTCTGGGTTCGTAAAAGCATAACCATACGCATTTGTAACTGATTAACTGGCAAACTCCGCTGAAGCTTCCTGCAGTGATGCTTTTAAGCCCTTTTTAACTGAAAACTGACAGTTTCCTTCCCCCTTGGACTCTGAAGTCCCTGAGAGCATTTGGGAGGGTCCCTCTGTGAGATACTCTGGAGCAATAAGTCCATCTCAGGCGGGCTTGGTTATGTTAGTTCCTTATCATTAACCACATAGGAACCCGTAGGCTGCCATAGGTTTTGACTTTGTTTTCAACAAATACAATTGACACTGGGTTGGAAATGCCTCTTCCAGGGAACACTCAGTGGGTCTAGGGCAGCCTTTCAGACTACAGTAGAGGTTAACTGTTGCCATGTTTTGATTGTAGAACTTGAATATGTGTTTAATTTTTTGTGAACAGATTGATGACTCTTCTGCATCTATTTCTCTGGCCCAGCTTACTAAGGTATATATATATATATATATTCTTGTCAAATACTTTAAAGAAAAGTGTTTGTTTCTTATTTCTAAATCTCTTCTGTGCTCTATAGCTGGATAACTGTTGTAATCAGAACAAAGCTTTAGCTTAATCCTTAATAATTTAAAGTACTCATTTTAACTTTAAAATGTGTGTATATTTTGATACTATCCTGTAAAGAGTAGTTCCCAGTTTGGGAAGATAGAAGGGGAGTGCCTTATCAGCCTCAGCATAATGTTGCAGTGTTACTCATCCTCAAGACACAAAGAAGAAGCCCTTCAGAAGCTCTTTACCGTTTTTCATACCTTTGGTTTATTTTGCGTTGGAAACTAACACAATTTTTGCAGAAGAATTTAATTGGCTGTAAGTTCCGGACATTGCAGGGAGGCTGCAACAGCCACAATAACATGGACAATTGCATGGCTTATTTCTGAATTCCTAGTCATTCCAGTTACAGAGCCATTCTTGGAATGCTGCACAATTCCATAAGCTGTAGTAGACAGTGGACAACCCGATCTAATTTGTTTGAACGCAGACTGTGTAAATTGTGTAAATGTACCTAATTGTTCATAGGAATATACCAATGTGTATGTGTGGCATAAACTAGCAGCTGTGACCTTCTGGAACTGTTGTAATGCCATGTTTTGCGATGGAACTGCTTGCTTTTTTTGCTCAACAATGTGTAACTTTGTCTGGGAAAGCACTAGTGACTGCACTCGGTGAAAAGGCATAGTGCCAGCCACTTAAGTCCTAGTCTTTGAAGTGACAAAGCTTAGAGAAGGCAGGGCCCAGTGCAGAGGAGCTAGTTCTTTCTTCCCAAAACAAAGGCTGGAGCTAATTTCCAAGAAAGAGGAATCTTTTCCCCCTGGGTCACTTCTTCCCTGTCCCACTGCAGAAATCAAATTGCGTGCACTGGGCAAAAAGTACCCCTACAGAATAGTTCTGGAGGTAGCCACCAAAAGCAATTGGTTTCCATTAGTGCTGTCCCTAACCGTGTCCTCGGCTCTGTAAACTCATGTGAAGCTTTACTCTAAAATGTGACAAGCTGTCCAGGTGTGTACACAGATAAACTCTGGAGGAAAACTAAGGATGTCAGGCAAATGCAGGAACATATCAGAAAGCAGCTCAAAACTGTTACTTCCTCTAACCTCTTGAGTCCAGGCTGCCTTAGCGTGGAGGCAATGTGTTAACAGTTTTCTGGTTTATTATTGCTCTGTATTAAATGCCATCTTTGAATTTTGGTCTATTCCTAGTAATGTTTTGTGGGCTTTGGATGTATTTTGTAAACCGTTTGGGTTCAAACAAATTAGTCAAATACCTGTAAAGTTTTCTGTACGTGTTAATGGCAATGATTTCACAGCTGTTGATCTGGATTGTGTTACTGTTGGGAAACTCCTGTGTATATGAAACAACCATTTAATAAAAAGTTGAAACTAGTTGGTTGCTTTTGTGAATGAATGCATATAAAACCAGAACCATGAGTGCTTGATCTGAATGGTAGGTGCTTGAAGGTCCAAATCATTTACTGTCACTCCCTTAGACCCTGCTTGTATCTGGACTAGTGTGTAATAAAAATACTTTAACAAATGCTACTCAAATCAGCTGGCTTCAGTAATTTGAAGATCTAGTTCTGCATAAGGTTTCTATTATGATTTGTAAATTAAAAGGACACAGTCAACTGGGAAGAACCTGCAGGTTGCTCTTACTGCTTTTAATCTGGAGAAGTTAGTGGGAGGAACACGCACTTTGGGCTGCCCACGGCACATGATGGTCACGTTTCTGCTGAAGAGAACCTTGTGTCTTTCTGAGGCACCAGAAAGAGCTGAATTCTCTCAGTACTTCCATGTCTGAATTTCAGCAAGCAAAAACAACTGCCCCAACTCCTAAGTTGTGTGTCCTTTTAATGCTGCAAAATGTAGATAATGCTACTTGCATACATCTTAATCAATTGTACAGTGTGTATCTTCTCCTTCAAATAGTCTGGAGCTTCAAAATCAGTTTAAAACCACTGGATAGTGTATATATTTTTTTTTCTACACATTGCTTCAGTCCACGTGGAAGAAAACTGGACTGGTTACACAAGCCTTTATGTCAGGTACAAACAGAGCCTAAGGTCTGAGTGCCCAACAATGCTCTTTTCAAGTAGGCTGACAGGCACATAAACATCATGTAATGGCGTAAGGACTCCCCAGAACATCTTCAGGACAAATATATTTTATATAAGCAGCTGTTTTCATGCAAGCTCAGCTAGTGTTGTGCTGCTCTTTACAGGATTGGATGAGTGGTGTTGTCTTTGGCTGTGTGGGCTTAAATGTGTTTCTAATGTGTGTGTCAAATAATTGCCTGTTAAACAGACCGCCAATCTGGCTGAAGCCAATGCTTCCGAAGAAGATAAAATAAAAGCTATGATGACACAGTCTGGCCATGAATATGATCCAGTCAAGTAAGTGTCCGGAATGTCAAATGTGTTCTCTGAAGATTGTGTAACGATAGTGGGGACGTTGGTTTTAACAAAACACACACCCATCCCTTATCTCTTTTTTTCCCCAAAACCTTCTAGTTACATGAAGAAGCCTGTGGGTCCACCTCCACCATCCTACACTTGCTTTCGTTGTGGGAAACCTGGCCACTATATAAAGAACTGCCCAACAAATGGGGTAAGGTTGGGGGGGGTGGTGCATGTGCTCCTTCTGAAGGTTGCATTTTGTTACCTTGGCAGCTGGTAACAAATGCAGGCATGCTCATGTTAAGAATTGCTTCTTTCTGGGTCATAGGCATTAAATGTGTCTGGATCTTTCTCTGTGAACTTTTTAAGTGTATTTTGCTGTATTTTGATATTACTGGGAAGTTGTCTCTTTTTTAACCCTTTCTTTTCATGGCAGTTCACAGTTTTTAGTATTCTGTGTGAAAAGATGGTTCCATTGACCCCATGTGTTAAATATTTTCATGTTTTACTTAAGTCTCTGGTTGAGTATTCATACATTTAACATCAGTCACTGAATGTATATGCATGAGGTGTGAAGACAGCCTTCACCTATAGCTGGTGAACAGAAGTTTCTCCAGTGGCTGATCCAGAGTCTTGACTTAAGCTCTCCCTTGGAATTTGGAGGAGGAGCAGGTTTGTGTCTCTTCTCCCAGGGGTTGGTGGGCTAAGGCATGTTTCACCCGTAAGGAGCCTGAGGTTAAGCCAAGAATATCGACTGAGCTCAGAACTCTGCTCAAGCCTTTGGCGCATCGTGGCCGTGCTCATTTAGGAGAAGTGTGTTTTAGTTGAGCAACTCTTATGCTAGGTAAAAGGAGAGGAGTAAAGGCTTTTGCTGCTTAAAATGATAATTGCAGTCTCATTTTTCAGGCAAAACTCTTACTGTGAGAGTGACAGAGCACTGGACCAGGTTGCCCAGGGGGGTTGTGGAGTCTCCTGCATTGGAGATATTCAAGGCCCGCCTGGACAAGTTCCTGTGTGATGTACTCTAGGTTACCCTGCTCTTGCAGGGGGGTTGGACTAGATGATCCTTTGAGGTCCCTTCTAACCTGTGATTCTGTGATTTGAAGAGTGTCTTTGAGATGAGGAATGTGCATTTCTTTTCTTAACAGGACAAAAACTTTGAGTCTGTTCCGAGAATTAAAAAGAGCACAGGAATTCCAAGGAGTTTCATGATGGAGGTGAAAGATCCTAACACCAAGGGTGCCATGCTTACAAACACTGGAAAATACGCCATACCAACCATTGATGCGTAAGTATGGAATCCGTTGGGAATTCCTGACCACAAAGGGACTGAGAGAAACCATATGTAAATGCCTGAGTAGCACTGCAACCAAGTTGGCCAGCATCTCTAGTGAAGGGAGAGGAGTCATTGTCATTGTACCTCAACCTTAAAATCGTAGTGTGAAACAGACTGAAGTTCCACTGTTGCTATAAGCTGAGAAAATACTGTGTGTGCTGACGAGAGTGGCTGCTTTAAAATGCACTTGGTGGCACATCAGTTTTTCTGTCATGGATCTCCTTTTGTAGAAGCTGTAACACTGACTTCTTTCCTTTATCAAATGCAATTACTTGGAGACTAGCTTTATCCTGAGCCTGCAATTTACATTTGCCCTCTGGCAAAGGAGAGATGGGATTCATTTCATCTGTTTTCTAGCTGTCAGATATTTTTCTAGTCTGAGGTGATTTCTTACTTGATCTAAGGAGTGGGAGAGTTCTGCAGAAGGGAGATTGTTCCCCCTCCCTATTGTAATGGTGTGGCTGTAGAAAAGTAGTTGAAACTAAATGCCTGTGTTTCAGAAGGCTGATGTGGAGTGAGGATTCCATCTGTTACCTTCCTTTGGTAAAATGCAAAGCTTGGAAAAGTTTAACTTTTTTCTTCTTTTTTCCCCACCCTCCCTCCAGGGAAGCTTATGCAATAGGAAAGAAGGAAAAACCTCCTTTTTTACCAGAGGAGCCGTCCTCCTCCTCAGAAGAAGACGATCCTATTCCAGATGAGCTGTTGTGTCTCATTTGTAAAGATATCATGACGGACGCAGTTGTTATTCCCTGCTGTGGAAACAGTTATTGTGATGAATGTATGTGTGTGTTAATATGAAATGTCAAATCTAATCTGCTGAAAGGAAATTATTAATAACCCTATTTAATACTTGAGTATACTTTGAACAGGAATATATAAGAGTATAAGGGGGGGGAAGAAATGGCAGAAAGGTTTTTTTTCCTTCTTATGTATCTAGTTAAGTCTTCTTTACACATGGAAGAAGTATGTGAAGGTGATTACAGTATTAGATATCAAATACACTGAGTTTGTCCGCAACCCTTTCTCATAGATGATTATACAGCCAAGTCGGGTGACTTAATCAGGTCTGCAACACACAGACACTTTGGCATTTAATCCACATTCTTCTCCATGGGAGTAGTGGTTAAAACCTTCAGAACTCAGGCCTGCCAGTGGTTTTTTGAGATGTGTTTTCTTCATTTACCTGAAGGTTGTCATTGAAGTGTTTTTACAATTTGTTAGAGCCCCAAGTATTTCCTTAGTTTGGCTAAAACCAGTTTTGGTTGTTCTAATTTCACAGGTATTAGAACAGCGTTATTGGAGTCTGAGGAACATACGTGCCCAACGTGTCATCAGACTGACGTTTCTCCTGACGCTTTAATTGCCAACAAGTTCTTACGCCAGGTAACAACTGCTTCTGTGTAAGCTGTAAGGGAAGTCTGTTTGTAACAAGCAGAAAGGGAAGAAAATATCAATTTGTATCTCTTGAAGCAAGGGTAAATTGAACAAGGCTACATTTACTGTTCAGATACTTTGTCCTTAACAGAAGCTGACAACTCATTAGAGACAGTTTGGCAAATTGAGGTCATGCTGTTGTTTAACATCGTTGCCTTTCACATTTGGTGTTAACATTGAAGTGGTTGAAATACAGATGCTCTTGAGTTACCAGTCATTAACATCAGTGTTCCCTGTGCTGTGTTCATATAGCTGTGTGTTGATTTAGTTCAAGGTGGACGGCATTTACAGGAATACCCAAGTAATTGTACTCTGGGGAGGGTTTGTCCTACATCTGCTGAAGTTTCATTGTACCTTGTTGTAAATGTTCTTCTGCCTTTAGGCTGTGAACAACTTCAAAAATGAAACCGGTTACACAAAAAGGCTTCGTAAGCAGATTCAACAACAACAGCAGCAGCAACAGCAGCAGCAGCTGCCACCGCCACCACCACCACCACCTCCACCACCTCTCATGAGACAAACAATAACACGCAACCTGCAGCCTCTGCTCCGGCCAACGAGACCGGAACCACTGATGATTCCATTAGCTTCTCTGGCTTCTCGTTCTGCTCTGTCATCTTTGGCTCCAGGTCCATCCTCCATGGCAGCTGGGCTGCCTGTAAATCCATCTTCTGTTGTTGTCTCTGATCTCCCTCCAGCAGTGTCCCTGTCTCTCCGTGGTGAAAAGCCAGATGGACCTTTCCGGTGAGTGAATCTGTAGACAAGATGAATATCAAAGACACCAAAATGCTGGAGTCAGATTCTTGAGTTCTCAGCTAGTGATTTGTGTATAATTAGGAACAGTGCCAGGTAACTGTGGAAGTTCTGGGTTTTGTTTTCACTTTGATAAGTTCAAGTGTGCCTCATGGAAGAATTTCCTCAGAAGTAGTTCTGTTTGGTTCCCTTACAGTCATTCAGTACAGGTTTACCCTGGAGGAGGAGCCTTTTGCTCCCCAGGAGCCTTTGATTTTAAGTGGCTAGCAATTCCTGAAGGAGTTATGCCAAACCTTGAGTGCATCGATTTCTCTTTAGTACTGGGGAAATACTTTCATGAAGTGTAAAAGCAGGATTATAGGTAAAATTGACTGGCTGTTTTCACACTGCTTTTTTCTACAGTATTTTTCATCACTATTACAATAAGTTAGAGTCATCCTCAGTCATACAGAGTGTAGTCAGTGATGCATAATGAAACTGAAACACTATAGATTTGGCGTATTTGTAAACATGACAGTCTAATTTTGCAACCCAGTGAAGTCATGAAAATACATTAAAGATCTGGGCTATAGTTCAGGGCTTACATCCTTCCAGCTTTATGCCCTGCATGCAAATAGCTGCTCTGTCTAGAAGACTGCCAGGCTCAGCTCAGCACGGAGGGTCACAGTTCAGCAGAACCTCTAAGGCAGCCTCTGAACTAGCACACACACATGTCCTAATAGCATTTCAGTTCCTGCATCTTCCAAAACTCTGATCCATTCACATGCAGCCTGCTCTAATAAGATGTTTTTTGAGTGAGCTCTTTGGAATACCAGGAGCCCAAACTGATCTCTCATCAGTGTTTCCTTTGGAATCTGCCAACCTCACGTTTGTCAATCTGGGACAGATTATATTTTGCTTTTTTCTCTATTTACAGCAGCCAGCCTTTCCTCACCCTGAGACTTTGTATTTCCAGTAGCACTTCAAAACACTGTTTGAATAACCTAATCTTGTTTTGTAGTGATGATACTGTTATACCTCCTGCTGCTCTGGTGACTGCTGCTGAGCTTTCTAAATCTTCCCCCCTGTCAATCACCAGTCTGTTGGAAGAGAAGGTAAATTTTATTTCAACATAAGCAGTGGTTCTTGGACTTCAGTAGAGCTCATTCCCTTACTGTTTGCTTTTCTTTCCAAGGGCTATCAGGTTCCTGTACTAAGACAGCCAGCATTACCAAGTCTTTTGGGCCCTCAAGGACAGTCAATACCCACAACTGGTAAGTAATGATAACTTCAGAATTTCTTCTAAAATACCATATTTAGGTAAACTGAATGGTTGAGAGGTTTTTCTTTTCCTTCTTCCCACTCCCAAAGGTCATCCCATGAGAGCCGGAGCCATTCGCTCAGCAGGCGGCAGACCAGGCTGGGAACTGTAAGTATCCTACACAAATTCTATATATTGCTACTACTTGTAAGCTGTTAAATTAGGCTGTACCACTTAACTTATACATCTGCTGATTTACAATGAAACTACACACAGAGAGCTGTGGAAAATACAAGTGGTAATTAATTCTTCAATGGCTTAATTTGATTTACCTTTAACAAAGGGGTTCTGTGCATGCAGAAAGATCATGTAACATGAAACTCCAGTCCATAATTGAAGAGAGGACTCTGAAAAATGAACTCTCTTTGAGGAAACCATAATTACATATAAAAATCAAGTCTAACCTAAAGATCGATGGAAGGCCACCCATTTGATCACTGGCTGAATAGGGCTGAAGAAATTGATAGCCTAATAGAAATCAGCCTCCAACATTCTTCAGCAACTTAGTTGATGCTGATTGAGCAAATGGTTGGAAGAATCAACACTGTTCCATTTCTCTAATTTAGTCATCTCAAACAGCCAGGCTGCCCTCTCTCAGTTGCAGAGAGGGGAATCAGTACTCTATGTTATTGCAGTGTCAACTTAGTCGTTTCGGTGTGCATACATATATATAATGTTACAGATGGATTGGAAGGGTGTGTTGCATTTATAGGGTCTTAAGATCAATCCAAACAAAACCCAGGATCCATCCCACAGATTGCCTAAAATCTCATATTTAGTAAACAAGAAAATAAGTTCAGGGACAAGAACAGGCCAAATTCATCATCACAAGGCAACACTGCAGGAAGCATAGGTGGGAGAAGTTACAAGAAGTTTGAGAGAGGGTCAGTTTATGTTTGTGCAGTACTGTGAAGATCAGAAGTGTGAAGTGCCTCCAGGAGTGGCAGAGGAGCAGTGGGCACTGGGTACATGGGAGATGGGAGTCTCTTAAGCATGGGCAGCACCATCCCTAGTCGAAAGGCTGAGTGTAAGAAGAGAAGACTGAGGGAACTGCTGGGGGTGAGGATGTGGAAGGCAGGTATGAGGATCACATTTGAGCTGTGGTCTCAAATGAACAGAAAACAGGGAGACAGATGCACCAGTTGAGAGCAAGAAGTGCTCTCCACCATGGTCCCGCTTTATTCGCTTTCCTCTTTGAAATCAGGGCAGGGTGTGACAAAACAGTGACACAAGTTTTTGGATTTCTTTAGAAGTTCAAATCGAGGACGCCTGCATGGTGACCGTGCCCAAAGGAGTCAGGCCCCATCACTACCAGCATCAGCACCAGTCTTTGTGCCTGTGCCTCCACCTCCCTTGTATCCTCCACCACCACATGCCCTTCCTCTTCCTCCTGGGGTACCACCACCACAGTTTCCTCCTCAGTTTCCACCTGGGCAGCCTCCATCCGCTGGGTACACTGTCCCCCCTCCAGGATATCCCCCAGCTCCTGCAAACATGTCATCAGCGTGGGTACCAACAGCAGTACCAACGGCTCATTCCAATACCATCCCAACGACACAAGCACCTCCCTTATCTAGGGAGGAGTTTTACAGAGAGCAGCGGAGACTTAAAGAGGAGTAAGTATTTGGCTCGCTGATGTTGCGTTGCTTTTTATCGTTGTATTTCGGTAGCGTATCGGACTGCAGTTACACTAAAGTGCATCTGAGATAAGCAAAAATGACATAGTGTTTCTTCCAGTATACTTTTCCATTGCAGATGGTAAACATGCAAAGCTAAACCAGACAAATGTAATTCTAGAACTTTCCCTAAAACGTGTAGGAATTCTCAACTGTTTTTGCTTAAATAGGATGTTCACCTGTTGCGTTGCATGCAGTATACATTTTCTCATATTGGCCATGTTTTGTTTCTTGATGTCTTTTTGTAATAAAGGTCAAACTTTAATTGTAATAAAGGTCAAACTTATTTTAACAGGGAAAAGAAAAAGTCCAAACTTGATGAGTTTACAAATGATTTTGCTAAGGAATTGATGGAATATAAAAAGATTCAAAAGGAGCGTAGGCGTTCGTTTTCCAGGTAACTGCTTTACATGTCCGTAATGGAGAAGCAGATTGTCTAGAAGAATCAGGAGGAGTTCACTCCACCTCTGTTGTTAGATGGATTGGATGATTCAGGGGATTAGCAGCGATAGGAGTTCCATGTGCAGGTTACTAGCTCACTTAGCTTACTAGGTTACAGCAGTGGTTAGTGGACTGGCAGTTAGAATTGAGCAGTAGCTGTCAAGGAGCAGGGCTCTCTTATACAGTGTCTCTGCAGTGACATCCTTGCCCTCCGGACAGCGTGAGGAGGCCAGAGACTGGACAGGGATAATGACTGGATTTTCCGCGGCTCCCTACTCTGATTATAACCATTACCTCAAAGCACTTTGGAGGAGATAAGTGAGAGAAATTGTCTTCATTTCCTCTGTTTATCTCATGTGGCAACCCGGAGAGATGTTAACCTGGACTGCAGGCTGGTATTTTGTTGACAATGTTAAATTTTTCTTTGGATTTAAGAGATCAGACTTGTCTATAGGGAAATCTTGGTGAAGGACTTGGAGATGAGGAGCGATGATAATGAACAAATGTGGAATAATGTGAAATGGCTCTTAAGAAATATAAAAGAAAAACTTGTGATGGAAACACTGAGGGCAGCTGATGTGTTCTTTCTCCAGAGTGACTTGAGCAGGAGTCTGAATAGCTCTCCATTAGTAATGCTGTCAGCACCTTTCCTAGGCACTGAGTCATGTTGCTAGAGGCTGAGTTTAGAAGCTTTTAGATAGGATTTTTCTTGCAATGTGGTCGCTAACCTCGGTTAGAGTGAGATGTGCAAAAGTCTCTAGGAGATCTGGCTGGAGGTGTGGATTAAGTAGTCCTGTATGTAAGAGTGCAGCACTAACTGACAAGCAGTGAGGTTGAACAGACTGAGCTGGCCTTAACCCTGAGCTTCGCTGTCTGCAGGCTGAACTGTGTTTTCTGGATGTTTGATACTGCACTGTAGCCATTAAGACTTGCTCTTTTTTGCATTTTACTGCAACAAAAATGATTTGCATTGCATGTAGTAGCCGAGTAGTGGAAAATGTGCGTGTTCAAGTACCAGTAGAGGCCAGTACACACCACCTTAAATCAATCCCTAGCGCTGGTAGCTCCTTGTGATAGAAGTGAGTGGAAATAGGCTTATCCTTCCTGTATGTTTTACACTAACAAAGCAGCAGCTGTTCTGTCTTGTAAGCAGAAACTTTACATGTTATCAAGTTTTTCAGTTTGCAGTAGCATTATGTCAGCAGCTGAAAGAAGCTTTGACATAAGCATTTGAAGAGAAAAAAAAACAGACCAAATTTGGGAAATAAAAAGCAGGGGAGCGCGACTGGTTTGAATTAACTTCATTTATTTTCTTGTGTTGTGTTTCCTTTTAAGGTCCAAGTCTCCCTATAGTGCTTCATCTTACTCTAGGAGCTCCTACACCTACTCCAAGTCAAGATCAGGCTCTTCCCGCTCTCGCTCCTACTCCCGCTCGTTCAGCCGTTCTCATTCTCGTTCCTACTCCCGATCTCCACCGTACCAGAGGAGGGGCAAAGGGAAAAGTCGGAACTATCGCTCTCGATCCCGGTCACACGGGTACCACCGCTCCAGGTCAAGGTCACCCCCATACAGAAGGTACCACTCACGATCAAGGTCTCCAGTGTTTCGAGGCCAGTCTCCCACCAAACGAACTGTACCTCAGGGAGAGGGAGAAAGGGAGTATTTTAACCGATACAGAGAAGTTCCACCATACGATATGAAAGCGTATTATGGCAGATCTGTGGACTTCAGAGACCCGTTTGAAAAGGAAAGATACAGAGAATGGGAAAGGAACTACAGAGAGTGGTACGAGAAGTTTTACAAGGGCTACGCTGTTGGTGCTCAACCTCGGCCTCCTGTCAGCAGGGAAAACTTTTCTCCAGAGAGGTTTGGTGCCCCCGGGACCAGGAGGGAGAACTCTCCCTATGCTCGGGGGCGCAGGGAGGATTATCCTGGGGGGCAGAGCCACCGCAATCGTATAGCTGGAAATTATCCTGAAAAACCCTCTGGAAGAGAGAGCCATGGTGTCAAAGATCCTACAAAATCAAAAGAGAAGGAGGTGGAAAATCCACTGGGAGATGGCAAAGGAAATAAGCATAAAAAACACCGGAAGAGAAGGAAAGGAGATGAAAATGAAGGATTTGCTAATACTGAGATGTTGGAAAGTGCAAGAAAACCAAGAGAGGCCGTTGCAACAGAAGACGTTAAAACAGACTCCCTGTTCATACTTCCAAGCAGAGATGATGCCACTCCTGTAAGAGATGAGCCCATGGAAGCGGATTCCATTGCTTTCAAACCTGTGTCTGAAAAGGAGAAAAAAGAGAAGGATAAACCAAAAGCAAAGACTGACAAGACAAAGCGGAAAGCAGATGCGGCCGTTCCTCCTAAGAAGGACAGCTCAGCGAAGCCAGGCAAAGCTTCCCAAGAGAAGGTGGACCCTGACCGGGAAAAATCTCCTCGAACGGAACCTCCTGTGAAGAAGGTGAAGGAGGAGTTGCCAAAGACAGACAGTGTTAAAGCATCTTCCTCTCAAAAGGACGAGAAGGCTCTTGGTACCCCACGGAAAGTTCACCCTAAAGGGGCAAAAGATCACCCAGAAACCAGACCAGCCAAGGAGGAGAAGGCAAAGAAAGACCATCCGAAAGAAGCCAAGTCAGAGAAGCCCTCTACCAAAGAGGACAAGACAAAAAAACCTGCAGAAAAAGGCAAATCCTCTGATGCAAAACCTGAAAAAAGAAAAAGAAAAGCAGAGGAAAAGGTTGATAAAGAGCATGAAGCCACTTCCACAAAGGCCTCGAAACCAGAAACTGCAGAATCGAAAACGTCGCCAAAGGGGAAGGCCGAGCCCGATGGTGAGAAAGGAGAGAAAACTCCAGACAAGGACAAATCTGCTTTTCTCAACAACCCTGCCAAAAAGATTAAACTGAACCGAGAAACCGGGAAAAAGATTGTGAGTGGAGAGAATGTGCCACCTGCAAAAGAGCCTGTGGAGAAACCTGAGCCGAGCAGCAGCAAAGTGAAACAAGAGAAAACAAAGGGAAAAGTGAGGAGAAAAGTAACAGCAGCTGATGCATCTAGTTCTACTCTTGTAGACTACACCAGGTACCTCTGCATTCCTTTTTGTGCTTTCTTTCCTCCTCCCCTCCCGAAATGTGCATAGTTGTGTATGGTGACTACTGAACTAACAGCTAACTCCGTGCTGAATGAGTGAATAATCCTTCCTCTCAAACTATTCTTGGGTCAAAATCAAGTTTTGTTAAAGAAATCAAGCAGGTTGTGCAGAAAGCTGGTAAGGTTAATTCACTGGGGGATGTTTGACCCTGATTCTAGGACTTTCTTTCCCCCTCTTATTCATTACTTGTTGACTGAGGTGTCCCCTCTGTTTTCCTTCAAGCCCAGCTTATTTCAAAAGGCAAGGAGAACAGATGTGGCTGTGCCAGGCAGTATTGTGCGTTTTAAACATTTCAAGGTCCTGTAAAGAACACTGGGGCATGAGGACAAAGCTTTGGTTCTCTGTAGTCACCTCTCCATAACTGCTTCATTAGATATTGAAACAAGAATGAAGATCTGATTTATCTCCTCTTGGTAGAAATAGGACATGAAGGAATTACCAGATCAGACAGTCCCCCAGCTGATAATCTTGTTAATTAGATGTATAGGGGCAGGATACTGAATGAAGTGATTGCTCATACTCTTAGCCAGTGGATTCACCAAGATCCTCACTCACTGAGATGTTTTATAGAACATCTTTTGGAAAAATGCTGAAGATGGAGAGCTGAAACAAAAGCTGTTTGTGAAGTGCCACATAGATGGTGGTGTGTGCATCTCACCTGTTACTAATACATGCTTTTTTCCTCTTAGCACTAGTTCTACTGGAGGAAGCCCTGTCAGAAAGCCTGAAGAAAAGACAGATACCAAACGAACTGTCATTAAGACCATGGAGGAGTATAATAATGATATAACAGCCCCTGCTGAAGATGTCATTATTATGATCCAGGTCCCTCAGTCAAAGTGGGATAAAGATGACTTTGAGTCTGAAGAGGAAGACATTAAATCTACCCAGGTGCCCACAAGCATAGGAAAACCTGCTAGTGTTATAAAAAATGTGAGTGCTAAGCCAGCAAACCCCATAAAACACAGTGAAAAAGAGACAGAGCCTTTGGAGAAAGCACAGAAGTCTGCAAAAGAGGCGAGCTATGAAAGCTCCCAGCATGATGCCAAGAGCTCAAAAAGTTCTGTGTCGAGTGAAAAAGGCAAAGCCAAAGAGCGGGATCATTCGTTATCAGACAAGGACACTTCGGAGAAGAGAAAGAGCAGTGCTCAGCCAGAAAAAGACCACTCGGAACGTGCAGCTGAGCAAGGGAATGGAAAAACCATTTCCCAGTCTTCCAAGGAAGGCAGATCTGAGAAGCACGATCCTGGCCGTGGATCCACTGCCAAGGACTTCACTCCCAACCGAGACAAGAAATCTGACCATGATGGCAGCAGAGATCATTCTAGTTCCAAACGCAGAGATGAAAAGAGTGAACTAGCGAGGAGAAAAGACTCCCCCTCTCGAAACAGAGACTCTGCATCCACGCAGAAGAGTAAACCGAGAGAGGAGAGAGCAGAGCCGTCCAAAAAGGGCACTGGAGAGGCCAAAAGGAGCAGCTACAGTCCCTCGCGTGAGCGGAAGCAGTCTGAGCACAAAGCTGCTCACGAGTCCAAGCGTACATCAGAGGAACACAAACCTCTGGATAAAAATGCAGTGAAAGAGAAGGAGAAAGAGAAAGAAAAGGAAAAAGAAAAAGAAAAGGAAAAGGAAAAAGAAAAGGAAAAGGAAAAAGAAAAGGAGAAAGAAAAAGAAAAGGAAAAAGAAAAGGAGAAGGAAAAAGAAAAGGAAAAGGAGAAGGAAAAAGAAAAGGAAAAGGAAAAAGAAAAGGAGAAAGAGAAGGAGAAAGAGAAGCACCTCCCAGAAATAAAGAGCAATAAAGAGAAAGAGACAAGTGTTACCAAACCACCTGTGAAACAAGAATCACCAGAGGCAAAGAATGAGAAAGAGAACGTGGCTGGACAGAACGATAAAGGCGTTGTCAAGCCCAAGCCTCAGGTCAGCAGCTCCTCACGGCTCTCCTCTGACCTGACCCGAGAGACTGACGAGGCTGCGTTCGTGCCAGACTACAACGAGAGTGACAGTGAGAGCAACGTGTCTGCTAAAGAGGAGGAAGCTGCAGCGAAGAACCCAAAAGAGCCGAAAGAAAAGGCTGCTGAGAAGGTGAAGGAGGATGCGGCCGCTCCTCCCGCAGCTGAGCAGCCTGAAGCCAGCAGGAGTCAAAGTCAGAGCAGCCCCAGCGTCAGCCGCAGCCGCAGCCACAGCCCGTCCGAGAGTCAGACTCGGAGCCACAGCAGCAGTGCCAGCTCCGGGGAGAGCCAGGACAGCAAGAAGAAGAAGAAGAAGAAAGAGAAGAAGAAGCACAAGAAGCATAAGAAACACAAGAAGCATAAGAAACACCTCGGCACCGAAACGGAATTGGAAAAGAGCCAAAAACACAAACACAAGAAGAAGAAATCGAAGAAGAGCAAAGATAAAGAGAAAGATGACCAAAAAGTGAAATCTGTCACGACATAGAATGACAGATGATAAAAAAATGACTTAATTCCTAAGTCATCTGTATTAAATTTTGTTAAAATGTAAACGAATTCAAGCGTTGTAAATAATGACATGGAAGACCCTGTGCTGCACTTAAACTATTGCTGCTTGATTATTTGATTTTTACATCAGAGCTTTATAAAAAGTGAACATTTTGTACAGAATTGTGAGTTGTGACCATGTAACATGAAAGGTTTTGCTGGGGCATCTTCTTTTTCACCACCGGCGGTTGCTTTGGGTGAGCACCCTGTGCTGTGAAGGCTTTCACATCGGGGTTGGTTTTAATCGCCTGGCAGCAGCAGCCGGGCGAGGGGCCCGGGCCCGGGCCTGGTGGGATGGTTTGCAGAGAGCATCGCAGCCCTGTTCTGTCACTTTTTGATTACAATAAAAGGTTTTCAGTAAACTATCCCCTGTGATGAGACTCGCAGTGAGAGCTGGGCACGAGCAGGGAGAGAGCAGCGGCAGGGATTGCTCTTTGCTGGTGGCTGGCGGGTGAGCCGCGGCGTACCCACGGGTTTGGCTCTCAAGTGAGCGGTAGGATGTTGGATCCTGTGATCGAAGGTGGTACGGGGAGGTGCTGCTCGGGGCTGCACTGCTTCTGTGCACCAGGCAGGCTTGGAGCTCTCCTGTACAAGGTATGCATGGTCCCAGACTATAGTTTAAATGGTAACTGCTGTTACTTCAGACCCTCACCTTGTCATGTTGGCTGTGTTCTTCATGGTGTGTAAGCGAAGGTGACTGCAGTTTGCTGGTGGATATCGAGCAGTAAGGCTGTGAATACCTGGCAGTAATCAGAACCATCTTGAAGAAGAGGGGGGGAGGATCAGAGAATGAAACAGTAAAAGCAGAAATCTACCCTAAGGTGCTCTATACATGATGCCATCAGGAGTGGGTGCGTGGTTGTCTGCTTGTTCCTAGTCTGATGTGGCAGCAGCCTGCAGAGTGGGTGAGCATCTCCAGTGCAAATGGGAGCTGTGGAAGCAGCCTGGTCTACTGGAAGGCGTCCCGGCCCGTGGCAGGTTCAGAGCCAGATGCTCTCTAAGGTCCCTTCCAACCCAGACCAGCCTGGTTTGTCCTTAGGAGGCTGACTTCTGCTTATTTCCAGCATCTCATCAGTGTTCCACTCGCTCAGAAAGCTGCTATTAGCTCCCAGCAGTCATTTACACACATGCTGTACTCTGCTTTCTCTCGTGATGCTGATGAAGGTGTTTGTGGTTCAAGTAGAAGTGTTCCTGGTATTTTCCTTTCCTCGGCGCTGTGCAGAGGGCAGGGGAGCACCAGCAGGTCCAGGGCTCAGCCAGGCTTGGGGAGCTGGGTTGTCTTGAGCTGGCTTCTGGACAGCTTCTGCCAGTGGCTTTTTCTGATTCAAAGCTGGTTTTGTAGGAGTGATCCCAAAGGGCTCACATCGGTTGGATTGTGAAGGAAATGGGTTAGAGGAGATGCTGTAGGACACGTGGGGTTTCCTTCCTTACAGGTGATGGAGACAAATGTGATGGGCATCTCATGTGCCCCGGAACAAAGAATGAAACGGGTACGTTGAGTCTGTGACTGACAGAGTCACTGAGAAAGACATAGAATCACAGTGCCTCTTGGTCCCTGTGGCATGTCACCTACGGGTAAGTCACCACAGCCAAGACACCACTGGCGTCCCCAGTCCCACAGTGGTTAATGTGATGCTGGGCTGGGCTTTTCTTTCTTTTCCTTTGTTTCTAATCCCAGTTAGACAACATCCAACTTTTCTCTGGAGCGGCACATACCGGGCCTCAACAGTTGCCTCTTCCCACCTACGGCTGATGCTTTGCCATCTGCAGTTTGGGATGGAGCAAAGCAGGGGTGCTCCGCAGGGATGTCAGGATCTCCCCACCGTGCCCCAGGCATGGCAGTGGGACAGCCCCAGACTGAGCACATGAAACCCTGTGCTCCATTCAGCATCCAGGAGGGGCCAGGGTTGTGTTTGGGATCTTTCTTTGACAGTGGGGCCCTTCTGGATGTGCCTGTGTCTGGGAGGGCGCGGGCAGCTGGGGAAGGCTGAAGGGAAGCAGCAGGTTGGAAGGGTTTGGGCTTTCCCATCACCTGCATCCCCTGCAGTGTGTGAGTGGTCCTGCACCGGGAGCGCCACGGCCCTGTCCCTGCGCCTCATTGGAGTTCCTTTAATGATTAATGGCAGGTCTTGCACTCATGGTTGCAATCGTCTGGGTGGCCCGGGACACGCTCTGCCGGGTAATGGGATCCCCTGGGATGTGGCTGTGAGCGCGGGCTGCAGCTGGGGTTTGGTGTCTGCTCAGACAGATCCGGCTGCTCCTCTGTGGCAGAGCTGATGGAAACGAAGGGTTTGGCTTTGCTGCGCTCAGCAGAGCTCCGCTGGAAGCCTGCGTTGGTGTCAGCAATGAACCAGATGCACGCAGCGATCCTTTGGGCTGCAGCGGATCCATGGGCCCGAGTCATCCATGGGAGATGTGGGCAGGAGGAGCAGGATGTGGCTGGGGATGCAGTGGGGTGGTGACGGGGGGGTGTCTGACCGGACAGAGCCACGTGTGGCCTCGGTGGGGCAGGAGAAGGGGCTCCCACGATTTCAAGGCCAGGGTGCACAGGGCATGGGTGAAGCAGCGGTGCTGGGCAGAGGCTGCAGCGGGGGCACGGGGGGGGGAGGCTGGGTTTGGGTTGCCTCCACCACGTCCTGGGTGTACCAGCATCAGCCATAGGTATGGGGGCTGTGAACCTGGACCAGAATCATTTGAGCACCATTTTGCTGCCCTTGTGCTCCCATTGCGCTGGCTGTGGGTTAATTTCCTTCCCACCCCAATCCCAACACCAGCCCAGTCCTCCCAGCTGAGTTCCCTCCATGTATTGGTGGGATGAGAGGATGTGGGGACAGGAGCAGCCCGACCCTGAGCAGGGGTGTGAGGAACAAGCTGCTCTTGGGGGTAGCTGTGGCTACTGGTCACCCGCTTGGTGACAAAGGTGTCTTTGGGAGGGACCCAGGGTCAGACACTGGGTGACAGCCCCGTGGGGTCCTGGGGCTGACGGTCGTATTCATCCCTGTGCAAGAAGGACCCTGTCCCCGTGCAGCTCTGTCCCCGTGTGCTTTGGTGGGTACATGTCTGTGCCTGAGCGGTCAGAGGTGACCCAGTGTGTGCAGCATTAGATGCGACCCCTGGGGCTGGGCCATGCACAGCAGCACTCAGCTCGGCTGGCACCAAAGAGAGCTCCAGGTTTCCCACCCCTTTTGGCTCCCCGGAGCAAGACATGGCACCAATCCCACCCCCCCAAGCTGATCCAGCTCCTCTCACAGCAGAGCCCTGGTGATGCTGCAGGAACCTGCTGGATCAACCGAGGCAGCCGAGCACATCCCAGTGATGGAGATGAGGCATCACTGAGTGCGTGAGGAGCTGGTGCAGCCCCAGCGCGGTGCCCATCCCTGTGCCTGGGCCAGGAGCTGCAGCCGCTGCCCTGCCCCATGCACCCGATCCAGCACCGACCGGAACCCGGGTTTGGGTCCCTCTTTCCCCCCTCTCTGCAGCTCCCGAAGCCCAGCACAGCCGCAGGGGCCTGCTCCCCATGGCTGCCGTGTGCCGGGAATGCCAATGAGGCTGCAGCGCTTGTGCTGGATGCAAGCAGCAGGATCGGGGGCATCCAGTGAATTGTGCTGAAACCGATGGTGAGGGGAGGAGGAGACCGGGGCCCCAGCCCCACCACAGGGCCCAGGCTGCTGGTTCTGCTGCGCTGCTCCAGTTCCACAGGGGAAGCTCCATGTCATTTACCAGCTCTGCCCATCTGCATGCACGCAACTGGAGCGGCTGTGGCTGGTTTGTAACCTGCTCCTTTCACCCAGTATCACACCCCGTTACCGGTGCTCCCTGAGGATGTCGTGGCTGTTGCTGTCCTTGCCCATAGCATCCTGCCGGCAGTGGGAGGGGAGATGTTCATTGTGGAATCCCAGCAATGCGGGTGCTCATTTCTGCTTGAAAATGAGTTCCAACAGGGCAAAATTCTGCTCTTGATATGGCAGGAGCAGCCTCCCAAAGATTCCATTCCTGCTGCTAATTCTGGCTGGGAAGATGCACGATTTATGTCTAAGTATTTTGTATGTATTGATATGGATATATATATATATTTATATATATATTGTGTGTGTGTGTGTGTGTGTATGTACACAGTCTAATGTATGTATATAAGTGTTTTCCCAGGGGTGGCAGGGGCAGCAGATCCTGGGCTTTGTCCGGGCGCTGCGGCAGGGATGGATGGACCCTCACTGGGTTGTGCTTCCCCCGCTCCACAGGGACAGGTTACAGCTGGAGGGAGCCACACAGGGAACGGCAGCGGAGGCACCAGTGTGGTTATTGATAACGGTGGGTGCCTGCGGGCGCTGATGGGGATTGAATCCTCATTGAAACCCTGGCATTTCGCTCCCATCTCCTCTCTCCCACCCTTTCCCCTGAGGTTCCTGGGTTCGAGAGCTTGGCAGCCAGTGCTGGGAGCTCATTGCTTCATTAACCCCTTGCTAATGGCTGGTTTTATACCGCTTCAGTTTTTAGGGTCCATAGCGAAAGCTGGGTAGTGGTGGCACCACATCAGGTTTGCTCACGGGGTGATGGTGCCGCCCGGTGCTCGCTGCAGCCTGTGGCCCCAGCTGGGCTTAAAGAGAGAAGGATTTAAACACAGAAGTGTAACCCAGGCCTGGCTCCTGCCTTTACCCTGCTCGGCCCTGGGGAGCTGGGTGCCAGCACGGCGCTGCCAGGCCCTGCCCTGCCCTCCCGTTTGGCACCACAGCTCCGTGCTCGGTGAGTTAATGGGTCCTGCCAGCAATTAACTGGCAGCAGCTCATTAGTGCGCTGGGCGCTCGCTGGGTGCAGCCTCACCACCCCCAATGGATCTGCTGCCACAGGGGGCTCAGGGCAGCGCTGGGGCATTGAGGCTGCTGTGGGCTTGTGATAGGTGTTGGTGTCTCCATCCTCTCACCGCTGCATTGGGATGCTGCACAAAGGGCTCCTCGCTGGTGGGTTCAGGGTGCGCTGTGGCCATCAGCTCTTCCTGCCTCAACGCCAGGGTTTCAGCAGTGACGTGTCCTCAGTGGGGTGGCTCTGGGGGGGCTGTTCCCCTTTCCATCCATATCCCAGGGGGGTCGGTTCTGAATGCTCGCAGTGCTGGTGATCGGATGCTGGTCCTGGAGTGCTGGCTCTTGCCTGATGTGGGTTTTGTTTCTGTGCTCCACTGGTGCCTCAGCACTCCCTGCGATGTCCTGCTCAGGGCTGGAGCTGTGCAGGAGCTGGGGTTGAATCCATAAAGGCAGAAGTGCCGGTGCCAGGCAGCCCCAGCCTGGAAGGGGCCGGAGGGAGCCGCTCGGTGGGTGATGCGATGCGATGCGATGCAATGTGATGCTATGCGATGCAATGCGATGCGGTGCGG